CCCTAAGCCCTTAAAGGAACCCCAAAAAGCTCAGCGGGAACGTCGCCTTCAGCTCGGCGGACCGGAGTTCCAGCTGCTCCTGGGCACGCTTCCCTTTTTTTGTTTTAGGGTTTTAGGGTTTAGGGTTTAGGGCCTAGGGTTTAGGGTATTAGGGTTTTAGGGTTTAGGGTTTAGGGTTTTGGATCTAGTATCTAAGGGTCCATGTACCCAAATAGTAGAACATTGGCCCTAAAGTACCCATATAGGGACTACATTAAGGCCAATGTTCTACTATTTGGGCACATGGACCCTTTGGGTTTAGTACTTTCGAGCCCGGCGAAGAGCCTTCTTTTGAGGGTTTAGGGTTTAGGGTTTTGGGTTTAGGGTTTGGGGTTTAGGGTTGAGGTCTAAGGGTTTAGGGTTTAGGGTTTAGGGTTCAGGGTGAAGGGGTTTAGGGTTTAGGGTTTCGGGTTTGTTTAGGGTTCAAGGTTTTGAGGCTTTAGGGTTTCGGGTTTATTTAGGGTTCAAAGTTTTGGGGGTTGCGAAATGAGGGTCGGGGTTCGGTGTCGAGGCTTGCAAAAAGCTTCTGAGGAACACCAAACGACTCTTCTGGGACTCGGCCTACCCAAAACCATGATTTCAGTGGTCCTGCGAGGCTTGGTGTTTGTAATGGTCGTGGTTTAGGGTTTAGGGTTTAGGGTTTAGGGTTTAGGGTTTAAGGGTTGCTTCCTACCTTTGAAAGTAACTAGGCTCAAGATCTTCGAGTTCGGGGTCTTCGCAGAGTTGCAGCAGGGGTTCGCCGGTTGAGGGCATCTTACACGGGGCCTCAGGCTCGGTCTGGGGTTTAGGATTCAAAACACCGGGTCTATACAATAATAATTATGATAATCGAAATAACGGTAATAATAATGTTAACAATAATGATAATAATAGTACTAATAATGAGAATAATAATCATGCCAATAATGATAATGATAAAACTAGTAGTACTAATATTAATAAAGGTCCAGCAGTCTCCGTCTTCAGAACTCTCGGATGTAGGGTTGCGAGCGTTGCTTGCAACAGCGACGATGGAGCAAAGTGCCAGGAGCCAAAAGCCGCAGACCCGAACGCCCCTAAACCCTGGACCCATGGGCCCCATAGTAGTTCCTTTTTGGGGATTACCGAATAGGATCCTAAATATAAGCCACCAAAGGGAACTGCCGCAGACCCGAAAACCCCGAAACCCTTGGAAGTGAAAGCCCTGAATTAATTAAGCCCTGTTCCCTAAACCCTAAACCCTGCACCCCTAAACCCCTACACCTTAAACCCTAAACCATGGAAGTCAAAGCCCTGAATTAAGTAAACCCTGTTTTTCGAACAAGCTCAGACTCCACAACGACTTCGGTGCAAACACAATACAGAGGCAATCCTATGTTCGAGCTTAAGGGCGCCCATAAGGGCGATTCCGAGAAATTTCACAATTCGGAGATCATATATTCGGGGCGAGAACTCTAAGTCTTAAACCTAAACCTTGAACTCCGCACAACCCAAAACCTAAATCAAACCCTCACAAAACCCTGCAAAACCCTGCCTTCACCAAACCCTAAACCCTAAACCCTAAACCCTAAGCCCTAAACCCTAAACCCACAACAAGTTCGGGTCAGGGGCCTTGGATAAGATCGCTGTGCGGTCCGTCGCCTCTCGCGCGAAGGCCTTCACTTCGGCGAGGCCTGCCGGGGTTTAGTAAGAAGGCCTTCACTTCGGCGAGGCCTGCCGGGGTTTAGTAAGTAGGGTCTACATAGGGTTTGAGTTTAGGGTTTAGGGTTTAGGGGCTGTGGGCTCATAGGTTCTATAGGGATTTTATAGGGTTTAAGGGTTTTGTTACGTACCGTTCAGGGCTTTTTCCATTCGACTCTATTTCGGCATGGGTCGGAGGCCGAAGCATATGGTATTTGTGGCTAGTTCTCTAAATGTGAGTTTAGGGTTTAGGGTTTAGGGTTTAGGGTTTAGGATCCCTGTTGGGGTCCTTTTCAGACAGAAAACATCATTCAGTCCTGTCGCTGTGCTCCATGGCAGCAGCTCCCCACCCGTCATCTCCCATTCATACAAAAGCCTTAATAAATTGAAGAGGGTTCTGGGGGCTCCTTATTGTAATCATAGTATAATAGACCCCAAAACCCTATTCTAATTATTAAGGCCCCTACATTAGAGTTTCACCCACCATCTGTGTTGGAGGATCTGGCTGTTGCGGGCCAATATCTGCTGTGGGTTTCTGCGACCAGGTCATCTTTGTAGAAATACCCTAGTTCACAGTTGAGGATTGAGAGCATCGGCGTTAATTTAGGGAAGTAAATACAGACAGAGCCTGTAAACCTAAACCCTCAGCACTTGTCTGCTACTTACCCTAAACCCTAAACTTTCCTAAACCCTGAACCCTAAACTTTCCTAAACCCAAAACCGTAGAATTTCCTAAACCCTGAACCATAAACCCTAACCTTTCCTAAACCCTAAACCCCAAACTTTCCTAAACCCTGTGAGACGAAAGGAAGCTTACCGGTTTTGAGTCGGTGAAGTCTTCGTGTTTCGAACAAGGTTTAGGGTTTAGGGCTTAGGGTATTGGGTTTAGGGTTTAGGGTTTAGGGTTTAGGGTTCAGGGTTTAGAGTTTAGGGTTCAGGGTTTAGGGCAGAGGGTTCAGGGTTCAGGGTTTAGGGTTTCAGGGTTTCGGGTGTAGGGTTCAAGGCTTAGGTGAGTTGAAACTCCATCGGCTAGTTTGTAGTGTTGTCGAAGGCTTCAAGTCGTGACGTTGCCAAAGTTTGCTACAAGAACTTTTCTCAACCCGCTTGAACGAGATAACACCGGTGGGGTTCGGGGTATATTATCCTAAATAAAGCTCTACAGGGACGAGAAGGGACGAGTTTTGCAAACCATTACAGTCGAGGATTGAAAAGGGAGGTATTCTGCTCCCGTGTATGAGGGTTTTCGAGGATGTCCATGTCTCCAACCCCGCTCCCACCGTAAGGCTGTGCCAGGATTTCTCTAGGCCCACCGTTCTTTTTGCTGTTACTGTTCCTGCGAGGAGTATTTTCGTCAGACGCTTATCATTCCCAACTTACCACTTCCGCAGCGGCAACCCCAACAACCCCGGAGCGCGAAATGAAAGAAAAGTACAACACACCAAAAACGTAACAACCGAAGTCTAAAATCCCTAAACCCCCAAACCCTAAACCACCTTAGAGCTCTTAGGCGCGACAAAACCTTTGAACCCTGAAGCCGAAACAGCCCCAAAAACCTAATTGGGATTCTCTGAAATTAGGAGTACCTTATTTTGGGGTCCTTATAATAATGATCCTACTATTTAGGGTACTATATTAGGGTCCCCTATTTTCGGAAACCCCCAAAAACCTAACAGCCCAAACCCTCAAAACCGAACCCCGGTCTTGGATCCTCGAAGCCCGAAATCGAAGGCTTCTGAAACCCCGCCTAAAGGGGTAACAGTTCGGTTTAGGGTTTAGGGTTTAGGGTTTAGGGTTAACATTCAGAAAGCCCAGCTAACAGGCCCTGAAACCCGGAACCCCCCAACCTCGCCTAAACCCTGGACAAACCCGATAGAAACTTTACAGGGACACTTTAATTTAACATCGGACAGCTATGGACACCTGCTAGCAAACCAAGTAAAAAAACAGACAAACACCTTCCAAGCAACGAGTGCACGAAGAACAACACAGAACAACGAACGTAAACCTAACCCCAAAGCCCCTGAACACCCCTTAAAGGATCCAGAGGACCCCTTAAGGACCCCGTGAAGGATCTGGGAGTTTGCGAAAATTAGGGTACCTTATTTTGGGGTCCTTATACTAAGGATCCTATTATTTAGGGTACTATATTAGGGTCCCCTATTTTCGGAAACCCCCATCTCTCAAAGGATCCCAAAAGAACCTAAGTGGCCAACCGAGCCTTCGGAGGACTGCACCGCAACAGCCGAGACCTCGACAAGCAAAGCAAATGCTGTAAACCGTTTAGGGTTTAGGGTTTTTGGGGGGGTTTAAGGTTTATAGGGTGTATGATGTGTTTCAGGGGGGAGGCAGTCTTCTTTGTTCATGGTGCTTCTATATACAATGCTTTCACAATGCTTCTACCCGAATTTTTCAGGTCTTGATGACTTTTATCCAAAGTTCTGCGGAATTTAGTTGGTGTCTATGGAATTTCCGTGGGGCCCCGGGCCCCGACGGGGCCTAATGGGGCTACAGCGCCTTGACTGCTGATGGTGTTCTGGCCCGAGCGACTCGAACACTTCATGACCACGGCTACGGCTGCAACGCTGAAGTTGGCCCGAAAATCAACTCTAAACCCGAAGCCCCGTTCAAATGTAAGTTCCAGAACTTGGGAGTTGCCACGGCTATCCGGCTTTGTCTTTGCATCCCTCTTAAAACCCAATTAGCCGAATACAGGCTGCGTAATGTGCCTAATTTCGGGTTTGGAGTAAAATGCAATCGTACAGGTCATTTAATTAAGGACCGTAAGGGAACAATACTACTACTCACTCCGACCCTTACTCATGGTCCTGCCTTCAAGCGACACCAAGTCCGTATGTTTGTGGTGCGCGCCCTGTGAAAGTCCCCGAAACCCCAAACCCTAAACCTGTCCTTGCTACACTTTCCCAGCCTTTTCCAGTCGGGCGTCCACACGGCGCAGCTCATCTTGAAGTTGCCTGCCATAGGGGCCTAAAATAATCACCGGTACTATTTTTTGAGGTCCTCGTTGTCTTCAATAAGTACCAATACTATTCTTTACGGTTCCTTGGTATAGTTAATAGTTATCCTATGATTTACCCCATGCCCATAACCCTATTCTACTGATTAAGGCCCCTGGATTACCTTCTTTGCCAGAAGCGTGCAACAACCGTTACCGTTGTGGGGGAGACTTGCCCAAACTACAAGTCTAATTCCGAGTATCCTAGTTAGTATGACAGACTCCCGACATTCTACGATAAAGGTACTTAGGGCCCTTTAGGTCAGGGTTTAGGGATCGAGCGTCACTTCTACTGGTACCTGCAAGGGTCTACGAGCTTTGGGGCTTCAGGGGTTTAGGGTTTCGGGTTTAGGGTTACGGGTTTAGGGTTTGGGGCTTCAGGGGTCAGGGAGTCGCGCCTCGGGTTTCGGCTTGAGCAAGAATGGAACCCTGATAAAATAACATCGCGCGGGCCCCTACTATAACTATCTCCTAGTTTAACCGTAAAACCGTAAATTCACAACCCTGAATCCTAGACCTTAATCCCCAAACCCTATAAACCCTAATGCCTAAGCTCTAAAGCCTAAACCCTAAAAAGCCAAAGCCAACACATCTCGACCACACAGTGAGACGTGCAGGCGGTCGGAACCGGCCTCATAACTCGGATTCGTCGTGCAACCCTTGAAAAAATACTGAGCCCCGAAAGGGTTTAGGATTTAGGGTGTAGGGGTTTTGGGGTTAAGGATTTAGGGGTTTAGGGGTTTCAGGGTTTAGGGCTTTACTGTAGGGTTTAGGGGTTTAGGGGTTTAGGGGTTTAGGGTTTAGGGTTTAGGGGTTTAGGGGGTTTAGGGGGTTTAGGGGGTTTAGAGTTTAGGGGTTTAGGGGTTTCGGGCTTAGGGTTTAGGGTTCAATCGTGCGTTACCGCAAACAGGCATTCCAGGTCTATTTCGCGGAATCCTAACGCCAGAGATCGTGATTTGAGGGTAGTAAAAGGTCTAAGCTTGGAGGCGATGGCTTGTGGTTTGGTAAACTCCCCAGACAAATCCGCGGGGCCTTGATAATTAGAGTGAGGTTGCGGGGTAGATTTTCGAGGGATACCCCTTCTGGTTATTCAGAACTCTATATTCTATATAATGGCTTCAGCACTGGTGGCAAGCGCGATGCAACCCGCAACCCACGCCTGTCGATAGACTGGCATTTCTCGACTTCGGCTAAAAGTCCTGGTGTCGAGTGCGCACTTGACAAAGTGTCAGGATTGGGGTCTTTGGTTTAGGATGTAGGCTGTGAGGTCTACGCTGTCTTGTGCTGGGTAGGAGTGCTGGTGTGGGTCTGCTGCCCTAAACCCCGTGGACAGCAGCGATTCAAAACCCCTTAGTGTCAGTATTAAGGGCTGTGCTTAGGGTTAACAGAAATATTGCTTGGAGAGATGATACCACCACTTTGAGCATTGGGATGACCTCGAACCAGATGCCATCCTGTAACGTGGTATTCTGGAACTCACCTTCCTGCCTTCCCAAATGCCAAGCCAATTCCTACCAGGGACCCCAAAAGGAAACCCCTCCACCCTCACAGAACCTTTGCAGGACCCTTGTAGGGAAGGGAGTAACCCTAAACTCTCGGAGCCCTTTTACTCATAGGAACCCTTAAAGCAACCCCGAAACCCTAAACCCTGAACTCTAAGGTCTCTAATAGGAAGCCTTAAAGCAACCCCTAAACTTTAAACCACCAAAATCTAGCCCTAATGGGAACCCCTAAAGCGACGCCCAACATTATATACCCCCTAAACATCCCCAAACCCAATTCAAATTATCAAGGCCCCTACATCATTAAAGGAACCCTTAAAGCAACGCCCAACATCAAAGCAGCCCGAGCTCTGGAAATGGGTAGTTCTCTAAATAAGGATCCCCTCTTTAGGTCCCCAAATATGGTACGGCACCCTTATAACATGGACCCTGAACCTAGACCCCCCAACCACCCTCTACTATACCCCAAACTTACTATTAGGGACCATAAGAGCCCCATTAAAGGGCCATTGGGGGGTCCTGGAAAGGGACCCTAATTTAGAAACCTACCCAAATGCTCACGCCGCGCCTTTCCGCGCCGCTGCGGCCTCCGCGCCGGCCTTGGCCAGCTCCTGGTGTTCGGGTTTTGGGCTACACCCCTAGCGATATAGCGGCTGCGCGATACTGCAAAGGCCCCCTCTGAGCAGAAGCCTGAACCTCCAAATCTTAAAACCGCAGAACTCAAAGCCCTAAACCCCCAAATCCTGGGTGCTTATAAGCGCCGCGACACCCAGGAGGTTGAATCCCTAAACAGTATTCCATCCTAACCCCAAGCCCTACACCATCCCAAACCCTCGTCCCTAAACCCGCCAGACTCCAAGACCCTAACGCCCTACACCCTAAACTCTCCTAATCCTTACCTAAATCCCCAAAAGTAAGTAAAATAGTGGCCCAACAGAATTCTACATACTTGCGGGCTCCCTATAACCCATAAACCCTTAAACCCTAAACTGTAAACCCTAAACCCTAAGCCCTAAACCCTAAACCCTAAACCCTAAAACCCTAAACCCCTAAACCCTGAACCCTAAACCCTAAACCCAACCCCTCATCACTTCGAAGCTGGTGTCCCTGTGACACGTGCTATGAACATCTGTTGTGCCTGCGTGTCGCATCCTGAACATATTGTCTCGTCTCGCCCCTTTTCGCACCCATGCTACTGACTAAGACCGCTCACGTTCCAGGACCTGTATCAAAACCCATACGGCCCCAAAGGCAACCCTAAAACTCCTAAACCCTCAGCCTGTAAGCCGCACCTGCTACCCTGAAAGACATCCCTTCCAGGAACTGTCTAACTAAATCCTAAACCCCAGCAATATCTTAAGAACCCCAAACCTACTTTTTTGTCGGGTCCCTGTAAATCCCATATTAGGGTTTATAGTAAGAACCTACAAAAAAGTGGGTTTTGGGTTCTTAAGGTATCCCCTAAAAGGAACCCGAAGCGCCTCATGTCAGCACCCCTTGTCCTGGAGGCGCTGCTCCCGCTCAGAATCTGCTGCTTGCAGGGCCTAGCAGTATCCGGGCTTTAATATAGGGGCCTTAAGAAATAGAATAGGGTTTCGTGGTATATTATACTATAAGCATAATCAGGAACCCCCCAAAATATAGGGTATAAGCATAATGAGGAACCACAAAAATGATATAGGTAATTCTTTAGGCCGCTACAATTATAGGATCTTTAAGGAGGCCGTTAAGGCTCCTGAGGGCTTTCTATGGCTGATCGAAGCATAAGGTTTAGGGCTTCCGGCTGCTAGTTACGACTCCGTCTATGTTGGCTGAGGGCTTTTCGAGCTTAGAGCTACCTTTGAAAGTTTACAGGACGATGGTATCTACATTGAGGCCTCCTGCTTGCTGTTGATGATGAAGGCACAACACATGCTGGAGTATGTCAAGTTTCCCATCGGCGACCAAGCTTCCGGCTGCCAGCCAGGCATATTGAACTGTGGATTCATGGCTGTATTCTGGGTGCAATATCTGGGGAGATAGGCAAATCAAGCGGTGCAACCTTCCTCGGATATGCCAAGACTTCGAAAGCCTTGCAAGAAACACAGACCCCGGCAACACCCGGCAAGACTTCCCCCAAAACACAACAACAAACAACCTTCGGGCTTGTAGGGTTTAAGGGCTTACGGGTTCAGGATTTAGGGGCTCGGGTTTCGGGCAAAGGGAAACCCGATAAGACCTATAAGCTATAAGTGAGCACCTAAATCCCAAAAGCCCTAAACCCTAAACCCTCAACCCTAAAATTGAAGGGATTGGCCTGGAACTTCGCCGCCGCCTCCGCTGCCCGCCGTTCGGCCTGGTCCTGGCAAAGAGCCGCTATGAGGGTTTCGGGTTTAGGTTTAGGGTATAGGGATTAGGGATTAGGGTTTAGGACTTAGGGTTTAGGAATGAGGGTTTAGGGTTCAGGTTTAGGGTTTAGGAATTAGGGATTAGGGTTTAGGGTTTTTCTCAGCTCGGTTTAGGATTTAGGGTTTAGGGTTCACAGTTTACGATTTAGGGTTTAGGGTTAGTTCTCTTTTCATCAATAACCGGGCCCTATAAAGTTCAAGGTTTCCCAGATAGACCACATATGCCACGTATGTAAGCTTAAAGGCTTAGAGTTCTCCCACCAGCTATCTGAGAGTTTGTGCGTGGTGCAACTGTGAGCACTGGAGCCCCAGTATTGCTGTTTTGCTTAAAGCACCCTAAACCCTAGTCTATATATAAACCCTAAACCCTAAACCCGAAGCCCTGAACCGTAAACCCTAAATCCTAAACCCTGAACCCACTTGCAGCCCCTTGTGACGTATGGATAACCCTACTGACTAAGCCCAATGGACCTCTCGGTAGGGGCATTCTGGGGGTCTGGATTTCGCTGGGTTTTAGGCTTGGGCTGGAGAGGGGGCGGAAGCTTTCGGAAATCAACTGTCAAAGTTCAGGCAGTGGTTCAGGGTTCAGGGTTTAGGGTTTTAGGGGCCTTGCAGATACGAGAAAACTAATTCGAACTGCAAACCCCCTGAGCGGCCGAGGCGGCACAATCCCTTACGGGATCCCGGCCAAGCCTGGAACCCTAAATGCCCGCACCTGGAAATACATAGACCAAGCTATCAAACACCCCCAAACATCGGACGAAGATCTGCGAGCACCAACCACTGCGAACAAGTCTAAGCCTCCGATTGCTAAAGCCGCACGAGAAGTCCTATTGAACTGCTAAACTCCGCAAAAAAAAAAACCTCCAGAACCGCTCAGCAATCACACACACATCCAATCGAATTAGCTTGAGAATCCCCCACATTCTACAATCAACAAGCCTCTGAACAAATTCAATAAACACCCCGTTCGGTTCCAACCTTTTCAACAACATCCAAAAACCCCTAAAAATCTCCCTAAACCCTAAATTAACCCTGATTCATAAACCATAAAACCCTAAACCCTAAACCCCCATGAACCCTAAACCCTAAACCCTAAACCCCTAAACCTTAAAACAAACGGTCCTTCAACTCCGCTGCGCGCTGCTCCAGGAGTTCCTTGGCCTGCACCTGGGCCTTCTCCGCTGCCTGGAGGGGGTCTAAGGTTTAGGGGTTAGGGTTTAGGGTTTAGGGTTTAGGGTTTAGGGTTTAGGGTTATCGGTTTCAGGTTTCGGGTTTATAAGGTTTAGGTTTTCTGGGATCTTTGTGGCTTTGTGGTACATTATCGGACTTTATGGTTTAGGGTTTGGGTCTCGGGGCTTGCTAGGGCCTGGCGGCTTTATGGGATATTGTCGGATTTTATGGCTCATGGGGTTTGGGGTCAGGGCTTAGGGATGTATATAGGGTAAACCCTGACCCCACCTAGCCTACCTTTCTGAGGACTTATTTAAAGAAATCCGAACAAGGAGCCCTAGAAAGGTACAGTAGGTTCTTTAGGGTCCAGGAAGAACTTACGGATTAGGACTCTTTTGGGCTTTATCGGGTTTTGCAAGGGTCGTGTTGGGATGCTATACCCCTTTATGAGGCTCCGTAATATGTTGTAGGCCCTTCTGAGATTTTGGAGGTTTGGAAGGCTTTAAGTATAAGGGTATTCGAAGGGTGTGTGTATGGGTAGTTCTCTAAATTAGGGTCCCTGTTTAGGTGCCCCATATTGATACTGCACCCTTACAAACAAGGACTTATAAACGGGACCCTCATCTAGACAACTACCCATATAACCCTAAACTCTCAACCCTAAACCTCGATCACAGGATCGTAATATATGAGGATTTCCCCAAAATAGGGGACCCTACTATGATGCCCTAAATAATAGGATCCTTATTAAATAAGGTACCCCTAATTTTCGGAAACTCCCATATGGGCGTCACAGGATTCAGGGTTGAGGGTTTAGGGATTCGTAATGGGTTTTATCAGGCTCCGGAGCTTCCTCAGGCTCTTGGAAACCCTAAACCCCAGACCCTAAACCCCCTAAACCCTAAACTCTAAACCCTATAGACCCTAAACCCTAGACCCTAAACCCTAAACCCTAAACCGAGATTGGGGGTTGAAAGAAGTTGGCTCGGATCTTGTAGGGTGGCATAATATAAGGGGCCTTGATAATTAGAATAGGGTTTTGGGGGGTCCTTGGTAGTATACTGATAATAATAAGGACCCGGTCAACAAAATTGGCAGGTAATTGTAGTTGACGTCACAGGAGGCTTCGCACAAGGTCGTTGCTGTTTTCATGTGCTTGTTCCCGTGCTCTGCGGTTTTGTGGGCTTCCACGTGTCGAGGTTTAGGGTTTAGGGTTTAGGGTGATATTGGTTTGAATATGGGGGTCCTGAATAAACATACTCGGGCCTCCGGGGAAGAACATTACGAATTATTCAGGCGCCTATATCGTCTACATACCTATATTACGAACCTTCAGTTTCTGCCAGTTTGGGGCCTGTCTTCGTATTCGGCACTTGAAGCTTCTGATACCTGCGCATTGGGGGAATCAAATCTCGGAACGGGGCTTTCGGGCGCAAGTTTTGAGTGCTCCCAAGGTTCAAGGCTGGGAGGAACGGTCTCGCAGCGCCTCACTATGAAACCCTAAACCCCCGAACCCTAAGCCCCAAAACCCTAAGCCCCAAAACCCTAAACCTCTAAACCCTAAACCCCAAAACCCTCAACCCCTAAACCCCTAACTGTGGACAAGATTTATTTTTTGTTCTCTCCATGCCAGGCCTCGCGGGCGAAGACCTTGGCCTCTGCGACACCTGCGGCATTCCGGACGACTTTGGGGCGTCTTCCACTAAGCTACAGCATTGTTCCGCTACTGGCTGCTGCTGATACTGCTGCTACCTCTACTGCTGCTGCTGCTGCTACTACTACTACTACTACTACTGCTGCTACTGCTACTGCTACTTCCTCTAATGCTTATGTTTAGCATTACTATTATGATGACGATTATGACGATAGTTACCACTATTGCTATTATTTGTTGCTACTCCGCCTACTCCTACTTCTACTCCTACTGCTGCTACTGCTATTGCAGGTCAGGCATGTAGGAATTCGGACTCGAGACGAATTCAACAGCCTTCTCGGATACTTTGTCTTGAAATCCGCCGCCTGTGCTGATCGACGAGCTATGACCCTCCAGCGTACATCGGTTTAGGGTGTAGGGGTTCAGGGTTTAGGGGCAACGTCGTGTCCGACTTTGCGTTCATCCGGATGTCATGTTGTCCATCCTTCCCATCTGAGATGTAGCATGTCGTGCCCTCCACCCCTGCCAGAAGCTAAGAGCAAACTCCGTAGATGGTCAAGGGGCCTTGCAAGCTTCATCTGGCTCAGCCAAGAATTGGTTCAACCAGAGAGGCAAAGTTACGAGTAAACCCATGTAGTCTCAGGCTGCAGCGGTGTACTAATATAATGGCTTTGGGTGGTGTCTACGCACACTGTCCCTCTCTCTCTCTCTATAAATATATGCACATGTATGTATGTGTATATATATATATACCTCTTTATTTATATATGTTCGTTTATATATGTATGTGTATATAATATAATATAGACAAAGGTCAAGAAATCGT